CTGTCTGACACTGTCCAGGAGCCTACTGGGTTGGGCCTTCACACTGCAGTACTATCTGCCTGACACTGTCCCGGAGCCTGCTAGTTCGGGTCCTCATACCGCAGTACTGTCTGCCTGGTGGCATTAATATGAACTGTCTGTGGCTCGGGTGAGTGAGATCCTTGATGATTTTCCCAGCTTTCTTCAGGCACCGCCTGGTATGTACATCCAGGAGGAAGCAAAGCTCACCTCTGATAATTTTCCCCATGCACCTCACTACTTTCTGGTTTTAGGTGGTGCAGTTCCCATACCAGGTGGTGATGCATCCAGCTATGATGATCTCGATGGCACCGTTATAAAATGCCCTGAGGTCGTGAGGACTGACACCAAACATTCAGTCACCAGAGGTAGAAGAGACCCCTCTGCGCCACCTTCACTGTTTTTTTGGTATGGAAGTCCTCAGTGATGCACACCCCAAGGAACCTGCAGCTGACACTCTCCCCACTGCAGACCCTTTGATAGTGATGAGGCTGTGCACCCCTCTCTCCTTGTGAAAGTCCACTATGAGCTCCTTAGTCTTGGCGGTGTTCAGGGAAAGGCAGTTTTCTTGGCGTTGGTGTGTATGGGCTCTGACTTCCTCTCTATACACCGTCTCATCCTTGACAAGGCTCACCATTGTTTTGTTGCCAGCAAACTTCACAATGATGTTGGAGCTGTTGGTGGCCATGCAGTCGTGGGTGAAGGGTGAGTACAGGAGGGGACTCAGTACATCGGTCTGGGGAGATCCTATGTTCAGGGTCCGGAAGGATGAAGTGATGCTGGTTGGTGCCAGACAGGAAGTGCCATCAATCCAACAGGAAGTTCAGAATCTAGCTGCAGATAGAGCCGTTCAGACACAGAGCTTGGAGCTTCTTGTCAAACCTGGAGGGAACTATAGTGTTGAATGCTGAGGTGTTCTCTACACACGGGTGTACTCTACACATCCTCACAACTGTGTATCTCCTGTGCAGGTGGGAGCGGGCAGTGTGGAGAGTCATGGATATGTTTGGTGGACCTGTGCGAATTGAGGAGGATCTGATGTGTCAGGCAGCACAGAGTAGATGATGCTCCTGACCAGTTGGCGTTTCCTTATAACCGGGGTCAGAGCAACCAAACAAGGGATCCATGTTGAGAAACTAACCCAAGAGCTGATTCCATAATCAGGGCCAAATCTGCTCCTCCAAGCTTGCACTGTGCTTGGCTAAGAAACTCAATGTCCGGCTTATGCTGAGCGATCATACTTTTTGGTTCTGTTTGCTATGACGTCTGTTGAACACAGCTACAGATGTGTGGCATGGAATCTTATTGTGATTTTCATTGTTAAACTTTCAAGGTAACCTGTGATGTCCAATTCAGGTTACGATTAAGACCAACATCAAAGTAAAAATCAGGAATGAGCATGTTAACGAGAAAGTCCCAACTGATAAGTGTTTAATGGAGGCAAATCATGTTAGGAAGAAGCAAGAGCAAGATGGAAGACTTAGTCTCCAGATAAGAGCGACCAACTAGTGAAGATGTGTGGTGCCAATTTGGGAAGAGGAGGTTTCATAAAACGTCGAGGAGACAGAGAAACAGTTCAGCAGATAGGAATTAAACATACCATGGAAAGGTGGATCACATCTGTGAAGAGAAGCAACAGGTCAGAGACGGTGAGAGAGAAGATCCTGAGAGGCACAATCAATGAGAGCTCCCACCTTACACACAGGGGACAGTCCTCTCATTGAGACATCAACAGGAAATAAATGGACAGTTTCACAAAACTGAAGCTATGCTGGAGGGGTACTTTAATCCTGGTTGAGAAAGAGAAGCGTGACATTTTATAAAACTCTCTAGCTGGAAAAAGAGGGTGAGAGATCTTGTTGGCAGGCCCAGCTTGACTTCAGGACGAGGTGGAGGCCATAGCCTAGATGGGAAGCTCAAAGGGTGCCCCCTAGAGGCGAGGCTGGGCATAACACCAAGAGGCCTCAGCTAGATAATTCAGAAAGGTGGCACAGTGGAGGAAGATCCGAGTTCAGCAACCTCAGTCGCCTCCATCATAGGCGGAAGACAATCACACCGGCCCCAGGAACCGCCAGGGTGTGACTGTAGGAGAGAGAGAACAGAAGCAGTTTACTGATAAAATAAATTAAAATACCTAGTAAGGATTCAGAAATCACGTAGTTGAAGTCACTGGCACATTAATACCTTTTGTGTTGTTTATTAAGCAGTGCCCACTGTGGAACATATCCAGTGAAAGTATCACGCAACCATGTATACGGTACCCCCCCACCGAGGAAGAGCCGTTATCTCTGACAGCTGCATGCGGGACGCTCATTAACTATTCACAGTTCAGCCAATCCCATCATAAACAAAATAAATATGTTTGTGAGCGAGACAGACTACTTCGTATTTTCTGGCATACAGAACTGCCCACTGACTGTCACTGAATGAATAAAAAAAGATAAATGATAAAGGCCTTTGTGCCCTATGCTGCCTGGGACAGGCTCCAGCCCCCCCCAACCCAGACCAGGATAAGCAGCAGGACGATGTATGGATGGATGGATGGATGGAATTAATGACGGTGTTAAGTGCCACTCTGACAAAAATAAGCACTTCAAAGTTGAAACACTTCAAACACTTCAAAGCTTATTATTATATATTATTTTTGAACTTGAAAAGTTTGATATGTAAAATTAATGTACATCACATTTAAGACTGTTTATGCCAGTCACTACTGTAATTTCACATTTTTTGAGACCAATGAGAACAAGCCGACGGAAGCTGACAGTCTGTCGTTTGTCCACTAGAGGTCACCCTTACAACATGTCATACCGACAGCGCCTCTCAGATTCAGCAACGCGGGTCTAATCACACGACTTAGGTGGTGCCACGAATGTTATATCCTGGACAGCAAGGTTTTAAACAGCAGTGTCTTGAAACCATAAATAAAACATCTCCTTCAGGCAGTAACCATTTAGTTCTGGTTACATTAACAGTGGAAACTAAAACAGCTTTATAACATCTGGGGAAAGTGGGCTTTTGGAGACAGAAATGAAAACCAGAGACTTTTCCAGGAAAAAAAAAAAACAGTCCTGCATAGAATAGCATTCGATAAACACAGCAGAGCTGAGGAAATAGACTCTTTCTGAAGCTGCACCCTCCAGTTCCACACATTCCCATCCTGGGGCTGTAAGCAGTAATAATTAAAATACGGCAGACTGAGACACGGGACCACAAACCGCTTCCAACTAAAAACTAAATGGGTGAAAGATGATCGGGGGTATCAGAACAAACAGACACACACACGCTGACGGCCAAAGGGGGTAAATCCCAGCGCGTGACTCTAGACAGGCAGCCGTACGGACACTCAGGGTTAGCGTGTGTAGCAGAAGGTGTAGGCACTGTCAGTCAACCCATCAGGCGATACAGGCAGCCACCTAGAGCGCCCTCTGCTGGTGGGGTTTTGACTTAGCAAACCGGCTGACAGAGGGAGGGGCACCAGCAGTAAACCTTGCCTAGAGCGCCCTCTGCTGGTGGGGTTTTGACTTAGCAAACCGGCTGACAGAGGGAGGGGCACCAGCAGTAAACCTTGC